CCCAATGAAATAGGCAGGATGGTGATGAAGTTTGATTGTTGTACAAGTGTGTTTGATTTTAATTGATGAAAGAAGTGGGGAGGAGCAGCCACCTACCTTTCATCTTCATCCATCTAGGTCGGGCCAGAGGCGGAGGAGAGGAGGGCTAGTGGAACCCCCGCCCTCCAACAATTTTTTAAATTTTTATAATTTATCTATATTTTTATAACATTTTATAATTTCGCCTTTCCAATAAGTTTTAAATTCTTATAACTTGTTTTTGTTTTTAAAAATTTTATAATTTCGTCTTCGCAAAAGGTTTAAAATTTTTTTAACATATTGTTATTTTTTTCAAATTTATAATTTTACACTTACAATAATTTTTTATTAAGTGAAATATCCCACAACAATTAATCAATAACTAATTTTAATAGGACTAAAACAAAACCAATTGCATTTTTCAAAAAAAGATTATAAAATTAATTACAGTAAAATTATTTTCAAGCCTCACTTCTTCAGAACCTCACAACCACTTGCTCTCTTTTTTTTTTTTACCAAATGCTGTGGAAACAAAAAAAGAATCATTTTTTTTTTACACTTTTTTGCTTATCAACATTCTCTGTATAGAAAACTTTTATTTAATAATTCAATTTTCATGTCATGATAATTGGTATAATTGGTTTATTTATTTATTTTATTTTTAAAATTTTTAACTTTAAATTTTTATTTATTTAATCATTTTTAATAGATGATTTGATTTAAGATTTATCATCTCAGTTATTTTTCGTTGAAAGCAATTTGATTAAGTACATAAGGTTAGTTATTACTTATTTATTTAGGGATTGCTTGATTGTTTTCCTACAAATTAGTTGTGCTTTTTTCTTTGTTTAGATTCTTGGGAACAATTAAGTTTTTTATTCGGAGATTGCTTCCTCGTTGAATTGTTTATTAATATTATATTTAATTTTGTGATTAATTTTAAAGAATTGCTTCTCCATTGAATTATTTATTGATAGTCTTTAATATTTTTTAAGGGATGGCTTTCAATTGAGATTTTTGTTATTATATTTGTTAATTTTTGTTTGTTGTTACATTTATCGAGAAAATGATTTTATTGTTATTATTAAATTATTTATGATTATATTAATTAATTCTTTTAAGTAAATTATTAAGATTGTTTAAATGATTTTTACGATTTATTTGTATAATTTTCATATGAACTTTTTTTTGTTTTAATTGTTTTATATTGTTGTCAAACATTAAATTTTTAACATAACTGTTTAATTTATAAATATTATTTTCAATTTTTCGTCTCCCCAAACGTAAAATTTTGACTCCGTCACAACGTCAAGGAATCCTCATCTAGCTGCGTAACCCTTGGATCATCACCTTGATCTGGATCGCACTCTACTCTCAAATTTTTTTAGTTAAACATCATTAGTGCTTAACTTAAAAAGCAAGATGTACTTGTAAGATTTTTCTGGTGAGAAAAGTGGAACCATGTGGACCTCCTTCGCTTCAGCTTATGACCAAGTTTTATAACATATATGTTTACTCTTAGCTTTCCAATTACTCAAATTCTCTCATATACTTTCAAGTTCAAAATATCACTGCATATATACATACCATGATCATCTATTACTCCAATTTGTTCTTATTAATACAATTTTCATTTTAGAGAATTAATCATCGATCGTTATCAAACACATATATTCCATGCATCACCGACTAATTATTTCTCAACTATTAATTTAATTTAGTGATTTTTCCTCTTATTTATTGTAGTGACAATTCTATTAATTTGGACCGTGCATGTTTTCGTTCAATGTGTTTTGCTTGTAAGGAGTGTGTTAAAAATATTCATGTGTGCTTACCATGCATGCAAAGGATTATATTGAAGACACCGTTCTTTTTCTTTTATTTGCCTGAAAGAAAGTTGGAGAGAGTTTTAATTTCCATTAACTCATGCAATTAATTGCAAGGCATACGCATCTCGATATTATAACTATATATTAAATATTTGTAATATTGATCGTAGTGCGACCAAACAATTAGCTAGGTATACGTATGGAGTACATTCAGAGACATATATATATAGGACGAGCTTCGGATCAGCCTAGTTAGGCTTTCCTTCAATTGAAATCTGAATTTGACTCTTGAATTCAAACCCAATACTCATCACGAGGCAGAAGCCAAAACAAAGTTGCTGCTTCTCTAATTAATCTCTATACAAGATAGGCAAGAATTGATCAAAGAAGAGAAGAAAATGAGAAGCCCTCAGCAGGAAGTGGAATATTGGGGCTTTAAAAAAACAAAGGGACGAAATGAACGTCATGACAGGGTGGGATAGATGTCATCATAAACCCCACAACAATGGGGGACTTGTCGTGGGTTTAAGTTAGTGGTGCTGCAGCTATCATAAAATGTTTGAATATTTTTGTCTTCTTAAAAACAAAGAGCAAAAGGTGAAAAAAAATATATAGATCCCACAAACTTGAAAAAGTTAGCACAGAAAAGAAGAAAAGTTAAAACATTGGGGGA